GGAATTACAACACGCCGTTCGCTCCATGGCAGGGGGGGGGGGTTCTATGAACGACTCATAAGATCTATCAAACATTGCCTCTTCAAGACCATAGGTCGTTCAATACTCTCTTTCGAAGAACTTCTGACAATCTTGATTGAGATCTAGGCGTTAATCAATACCCGCCCACTGACTTACGTAACTGGAGAACCCCATAAAGACCTAATCTTGCGCCCTATAGACTTCCTTCGAAAGGAGATTCATGTTCATCTCCCAATTGGAAAGGCTTTAGAAGATGTAGAAGACCCGGAGTATCTTCCACCTACTGACCTAACTGTCCTGCAAACCAAGAAACAAGCCGTTAAAGCATTAGAAGCATCCTGTCAAATCACGGAAAAGTTCTGGAACGCATGGCAAACCGAATACTTAACAGCTCTTAGGGAAAAGCACACCCTTAATATCGGAAGGAAAAGGGGCTGTTCACAACATCCTGAGAAAGGAACAGTAGTTTTGATAAATGATCCTATGTTGCCTCGTCACTTCTGGAAGATGGCCATGATTCACCAAGTAATAGCGCGCACTCGCGAAACTGTACGAGAAGCTCTCAGCGACTTATTCGGCGACCAATCAACCTCCTAATCCCACTTGAACTAGAAGGGCAGGAATGTTCATCATCAGGCCCACCCCAGCCTCAATACGACGCCGTGGACGAACAACAAGAATCAGCCCCACGATACAATCTTCGCAAACGAAGACCAATGGATTACACGGAGGATACCGTCGATCTAGGCGCACTAGAGCAAGGAACATCCCGCAGTATGTTTGCGATTTCTACACTAATGCAAATTGCCATGATTCTCTTTCTCTCTTTAACACCAACAAAGACACTAGCGGAAACTCAGTCAGTACGATCTATGAAGTGTAGCCGGCCCATTCTGCCAGTCAATCTCATGCACCCTTTGTTCTGCAAACATTCTAAATCCTGAATGCTGGCCAAAGAGTCTATTTTTGCAACAACAATTATGCTATACTGCTTTATAACATAACATATAACATACTGGATGTTACGTCTTCCTCTAATATAGTGATCTTAAAGGTCGCTCGCCAATAAACTCTCGCTGAGTTGCCACGCGGTTGCACGAGAAAACTTGGGCAAAGGCGGTTGTTCAGACTTTCATTTCTGACGAATTCACTAGTATTGATCAGCTGGTTAGATGCCCTGACGCGAGTATATTGTCCTCGATATTGTCCGGTCGATGTTGTTGGTTGCTGTGACGTGGACGATGGTGAACAAGACGAAACGGCAGCACAGAAGCTGGAGCTTTGCTGAAGTCGCTTTCTTTTATGCGGCCGTTTGAGCTCGCGTAGGACAACATAATCTGAAAAATGTGGTTATTACGGTAAACAGAGAACCTATGTTTTGAAAGAATGCTTACATTTTCGCTAACCCTTTACAAGATAAGGCCCTTATATTTTCAGAAGTCCCCTTCTTTCAAGTTAAACCTACGGCAAACGCGCATCTACGAAGATCCGAACGGCGATAAGTCGGTCGGTGACTCACAGCAATGGACGACCTCTTTGATACTGATTACGGTAGCATTTGCTACACTCCCGGGGCAAAAGAGTTGATATTGTCCGACTTAGAGGCGACGAGCAGTTCTTGTCGAACATCCTCAATAACGCTTCTTATTCTTCCTTTCGAGTTCGGTATAGTGCACAACGAACGATGATGGTCGTTATCTCTTTGAATGAGGAAGTTCAATATTGTGTTTTCCACTATTCCACAATACCAGCATTTCTTTCTTCTTTCACGGCATTCCACGTGAGGATTACACCTTCCCAAACAGTAGACACATCTGCCCTCCTGTCGAATGAGGTGGTATCGTTGATCGCCGTTGGGGAAATCGGGGCACGAATCGGAGTAGTGAATTCCTTGTGTTCTGCAGAAGGCACAAGTGATCCACGGAACGGCGCTTGGTGAAAACTCATTTATTCGACGAGTGGGGAGTAGGCGTAAACCATGCCTAAATCTTCGAGATCTCTAATGAAATCCTGGATGGAGCGTTTTGGCTGGTAGTCGGCCTGTGAACCCCTCTCAATATTGACTTCCTTCTCTTCTTCTTCTATGGAGTTCTCGCAAATCAGCCGAAGTAGATAAACTTCATCGGAAAATTCTTGTGCGTTTGAGTCTTCTTGGTGTTCCTCCGATCGGCGTTCTGCATTGCGATACTCTGTCTCCATGTCGTAAACGTGAGGTTCATCTTCTCCTTCAACCGTTTTTGTTCCTTTCATTTCTTTCACACAGGAGTTCGAGTGTTCCAGTGACACATTTGCGTCTTCAAGCGGTTGCTTTTGGAGGCGAGATTTACCTTCGGGCAAGGAGTTCATCGTCTCGCTTATCTCAGACTCGATCTCGGCGATGATGCTCTCAACCTTTCGAACAGTTTTATCGGTCGTCATGATGCTATCCATTTCAACACTTTTTGCCGTCCTTTCTCCCTTCCATTTTTCTAGAGCTTGCTGCGAGATTCTTTCAGATTGGCATAGTGTGGAATCCATTTCGTCCAGGAGTACGAATCGTTGTGTAAGTCGTATGATATTGTCCTTTACCGTGATAGCCGTTTTGAGGAACCGAATGTTGAATAGGGCAAACTCTCCAGCGCTCGCGTCCGAACACATGGTGGTGAACAGACGTCGTCCAGGATGCATCTAATTCCTCCGCTTGTTCGTATTGATCCTGAAGCTCTTGCCGTGTTCCTCCCAGATCATTTTTCAGCTCGATCGAACTTGGATCTCGATGGATATTGGCAAGGAAGCCGAAGTCTTTCAAGTAGATGCTTTCTTCTGACATGAGTCTGATAGTCGAGACCTACATGTTGAAAAGAGTACGAGCGGATAACTCGTTCTCTTGGTAAATTTTCTTGCGTTGGGTATTTGTAGGGTAGGTTATTGAACTTTTGGCATTGAACGCATTTTCTTATTATTGCGCAAACTTGTGAGCGTAGTTGAGGTATCCAGAACTCCTGTCGAACCATGGCTATTGTATGGTTGACCCCCGGATGACCTTGTTGATGGACATCTCTTATTATTATCTCAGCCAAGAGGGTTTTTTGGATAACAAGGACAGGATTTTTGGTGTCACTGCCCAATTGTGCATGGCCAAGTCGTCCATAACAACGGAAGATACCCTGTTCGTCTCGATGGATATTGAGTTGTTGTAAGGAATCGATTACTTGTGGGGTAACATGTACATTTTGGTGGTGACGTAGTAATGTTAACCCTGACCCTCGAACCTCAGGCGCAGTTAGGGGTCCTGTATTGTGGGAGTGATATTGACTGGTTATTGAGGGTAAAGTCAAACATATACAGCTTTTTGAATTGATGCGTTTGATAAGTGCGCGGAGAAAACGAAGAGCGTACGCCATAATTCGCTTGGCGCGGGTCCATGTTCGCACTTGGCTGTTATGAAGTATCTCTACGTCATTCTTCTCCCTGGCGTTAATGGTGAGAATCTCATCTGATTCCCGCAAGTCTGAGATACAAGATTCCGCATCTTCGAGAGGAAACTGGAACATTTCCTCCTGACATGGCCAGTGGAAGGGTAAGTATTGAAGGAAGTGAGGACCTTCCCACCATAGATGATTTTGTAATTCTTCTTTTGTTGTTCCCCGAGTGGCGCAGTCTGCCGGGTTATCTTGCGACGCAATATATCCTATTCTGACCAGACATCGCTGCATCGTGATATGGTGGGCTATATTACGCATTTCTGTTATGCGTCTATAAACAAATGGTCCTACTTTGTGTTCTGGTTTTTTCTTGAGCCAACTAAGAACAATTTGGGAGTCGGAAAAAACATAAACTTCCCTAATATTGAGAGTGCCTCTAACTTCAGTGAGTACGCTATTGCAAAGTCTCATGGCTAGCGTCATGGCGTTTAGTTCTAGTTTGGGGATAGTGTATTTCAATTGGAGAGATGGAAGTTTTGACTTGGCCATGACGAGAAATGACGTAGCGTCGTAGCATAGATAAGTACAGGCGGCCATAGAAGCTAAGCTAGCAT